GCGTCCCGCCCGCTCCCGGAGCTACGCCCTGGGAAAGGCCGGGGATGTCGCTGAAGTTCGGTAACGCTGCCACCACCGCGTCTGGCCCTGACCGGGACCATGACAGCTCGTGTGCGCTGGGGCAGACCGGTTTAGCCCTTGGGCTTGCACGGAGATCCCCGCCCCGTCGGTGTCCGGGGCGGGGGTCAGGTGACCTGGGCCGGCAGAGACTCGCCAGCCCACTACCGTGGTGTGGGAGGAGCGGCAGAGACTCGCCAGCCCACTAACGTGGTGTGGGAGGAGCCTGCGGAGGCGGCGGGTCTGGGACTGGCCCAGTAGCATCTTCACCCACGCGCGTCCACCCTCCCCAGACCGAGGGAGAGAAGGCGGAGTGGGAGGCGTTGTGAACTGGGACGGATCTCACTCGTTCGCTCTCCTGCTCCAGTGCTCTGGCAAGAAAGTCTCAAATCCAAGGGGCAGTCTTAGGGATAGTTGACAAGGGGGTGTCCCTCCATCTTTTTGGGGGGGTCAGGGTAGGATGCTGGGTGAGCTTCACCGCTGGCTCCCTGTTGGGAACAGTTCTGCATAATTTCGGGGAAAAATCGTCTCACAATTATGATTACGCCTAGTTTTCCTGCCTACAGGCTGGCTATGGCATGTTGAGCCATAACTTCATTTTGCCTCGGGTCACAGCTAAGACCTTAATGGTCCTGTGTTGCTGACACTCCTGGGCAGGATTGCATCAGATGAAGACATCTTGGTTCCTTGAAAAGGGAGTAGTAAGAGAAAGGTTTCATTTGGGGTGGGACAAATTCCTAATCAACATAAATTCCTTGTCCATCTAGGATTTTCATCTTCATAAATTCTTCATTGTCCTAGGATTATCGCTGCCCTCTGAGTCATCTACTACTCCTGATGTACTAAATAAAGGTGTGGCAAGTTTGGGGTGCCTGTCTTTGCTGACCAGAGCAGCACTGATCAGGCCCAAAGCTCAGCTTCTTCTCTAAATCTTGTTTCCTGTCCATTAATTACTTTGCCTTGTGCAGTCGTGGCTCACAGGAGACCAGGACTCACTGAAGGGGTTCTGGTAACCACCCCTTTCCCTGTTCCTTACAGCTCCCCCACAGCTCAGGAAAGTCCTGACGGTGGAGTTCCATTGCCAAAGTTCCCTCCTGTTAAAGAGCTGCCAAAGCTGTCACATTCTGTTGTCCATTTCCAGACAATTCAACTGCAGCAAGAGGAGCATAAACCTTATTTCAGTGGAATTTCATAAAACATACATTCAGTCGTGGACTGGAGCTATAGCTCACCGGTGGAGCACTTGCCTCCTTCCTCCCAAGGCCCTGAGTTCAATACCGAGCACTGCAGTAAAAATATCAACAAAAATCAGGCAGCTGCCTGATAGGGCAGCTGATGGGCCTCCTATGTCAAGACCCAGCATGCCTTGGACCTCCAGCCACAACTTGGACCTTCAGAATCAGCAGGCACAGTCCAGATGGAAAGTGAGAAGGGGCCCAGAACTCAGTGGCGGGAGGGGGAGCAGCCACACACTGGGGTCACTTCTAGCAGATGCTGCTTCCAAGTCAGTGCAGGGTGGAACGGAGCTCTAGGAGAGGGCAGGGTAACCACCCCCAGCCAAGCCCACAACCATGCAAGGGCAGGAGGGCGGCAGTCATGTTCAGTGTTTTCTTCCCTCATACCCCTGTAATGCGTTTATCTTTGGCATCTAGATATACATGTGTGGGTCCCTGGGCTCTGGTAACCCCATGTGCCAACTGTGCTCCTGCCAGGCTGTCTGCCCACCCCTTTCTTCCATCTCTCACTGGGCGGCTTCAGGGCCATGGCCCTTCTGGGGTCATTGAGGGCACATGCAGTGCCATGCTCAGCCTAGGACACTCTGGGTGGGCATGCTTGCCACCTGGTGCCCAGTGAAGGGAGCCACCTGGGTGAAGGGAGCCATCTGGGTGAAGGGCAGCACCTGCCTGCTCTGATGGGCTCCACTGGAGAGGCTTGGCCTGGTGCACCAGCCTTCACAGACACAGAGACAGGGCCTGGGAGGCTCAGAAGCCAGCTGGGACCCTCCCGTCAGATCTAGGAATCAGCTGCAACTGCTGAGCCAGGAATTCAAGGAAGCCAGAGGATGTGGATGGTAGAGGAAGGTAGACGAGGCCAGGCTTCGTGGTGCACAACTGTAAATCTCAGCACTCAGGAAGCTGAGGCAGGAGTATCACTGCAAATTCAAGGATACCTTGGACTACATAGTGAGACCCTGTCTCGAAAAAAACAAAAGGACAGTGGAAGAGTAAGATAAGCAATGTGCTTTTCTCTTTAATATCTATTAAATAAGTGGATGGGGAAGAGCCCAAGTGTGGGGACCAGACTCCTGCAAAGAGCCCAAGCCCAGCCCTCAGCACTGGAGCCTCAGCCTCTTCCAGAATGGTGAGTCTCCCAGCAGGCAGGCTGTGAAGGAAAGATGGCAGCTGATCCTTCTGGGTCGGGCTGGACAGAGGAGAAACGACTGCAAGCTGCTTCCCACTGCCACTGGCCCCACAGCCTGAGACCTGGATGCTGCTTGCTGTTCTTTCAGGAAGAAAGTCCTTGCCCTCTGGTGCAGTCCCAGCCGACAGGTCAAGACTGCCGCCCCGCTCCCAGTCGTACTTCATGCCTAGGACACCTAGCCTGGTGCTTGGATGAGGCGGCACCTCTCAGCACAATGTGAGATCCAAGTCGAGTCTTGCTTCTTGTGAAAGCTGGACTCCAGTGAGGAGCTCAGGCCCTTCCCGCCCTCCAAGCTAGCTGTCCGCCTTCTTCATGCAGTGGAAGAGGTTACAGAAGAGCTCATACCAGAAAAACACAAAGCCTGTGGAGACGGCAGCCTTTAGCAGGCTTGGGGACAGACCCTTGAAGAAGCCACGGCCACCTTCTTCTTGCAGCACCTGCTTGATGCAATCCAGGAGGCCCCCGTAGCTCCGCACCTGGGGAGAGGAAGGCCAGGTTGAGGAGGGAGTGCACTGGGCACATCCCAGCTCCCAGTAAATACTTGCCGGTGAAGGGGAGAGCACAAAACTGCGGATAAATTTCCCTTCTGTCTATTTCAAGTGGGCTAAGTTGGACTTAACAGATGAAGCACCTGGAAGTCAGCAGCTGGACAGAGCCCCTCCCTCCAGAGGTGCTCTGGATTCTTTATCCCACTCTGCTGGTCCTCCTAGGCAGATCTGAATGGCCCTTGCTAACTCAGCGTGACCAGCACCAGACCTTCAGCCTTGCCTCCCCGCCACCTTTTTTTTTTCCTCAAATTTTATTTTATTTTTTTAATCTTATTGAGTTTAATGGTACTTTTAATGTATACAGTAGAGTTACATTCATCACTGGGATCTTACCTCCCTGCCTTCTGACATCACAAACTACTGCCAGACCCATGTACCCCCAGTGCCTTGCTCCCCTCCAAAAGCTCCAGTAACCCCTGATGATGACATCACAGAATCAAGGCCAAGTTCTCTGGCCTGGTGTTTGAAGCATTCCAACATGTGGTCTCAACCTCTCTCCCTGGCCTTGGTTCCCACTGGACCTTCATGAGCCTCCTCCACTTGCCCCAACTGCTGGCCAAACTAGCACACCGGTCTTTGTTAAGAGCGGGTCCTCTTTTGCTGGGCATGGTAGTACATGGCTATAATCCCAGTACTTGGGAGGCTAAGGCAGGAGTTCAAGCCACGAGTTCAAGGCCAGCCTGAGCTACAAAGTGAGTTCAAGTCCAGCCTGGACTCTACGGTGAGACAAAAATAAATAAATAAATAAAATTTGAAAAAGAGGACCTCTCTCTTCCATCCTGGATGCTCTCTGTGTCCAAATTCAAACTCTCTTCAGGGCAAGTTGGTAAATGGAAAGAGGAAGTTACAAAACCTTGCACTTGGTGTTTATGCGAAGAAACTACACTAAGAGGACAGGCTCTAAACTAGAGAGGCTGTGCAGGGGCTAGAGCTACCTACTGCTCAGGAGCTCAATGCTGGTCCCTTCATGTGTCCAGGGAGTGCCAGGGTGAGAGCTGTCTGCATGATGCTGGCTTACCTGGCCGAAGGCAGCTCTGGCGTCCTCAAACCCGCCAACCTGAAGCCGTTTCTTGAAGAGGTCCAAGGGATATGTAAGGGTCTTGCTGATGATTCCGGCTCCAGAACCACAAAGCAGGTTTTTCAGGTTTTCTGAGCCAGGGAAGCAAGATAAAGGGGAAGGGTGGGAGAAACCCAATTAATGATGGCTGAGGTAAAGGTCGTTAGGACTCATCCTCCACCACAAACCCACGCATCTCCAGGTCTCAAAGGGGAACCAGAGCCAGACCTAGCTACTGGCAGCAGAAGCGGTAACCGACTGCAGGCTGGACAGGGCAGGGCAGCAGGGCATGAGTCTGCGTGCGACAGTCCTACAGCTAGAGGCCACGTGGGCCTGCGGGCTCAGCTGGGGGACTCAGACCCAAGCTGGAGAGGAAACATGTCCCCCCTACCAAACAACAGTAAACAAAAAACCAAAACCAACAGGCAATTTATAAATTGGGTTTCTGACAAAAAAAACCCTGAACCAATCTCTAGAAATAAATTTCGGTGATGCTAGTGACAGATACAGAAAGAGTCGGAATAAACAAATCCAACACTTAAACTGCTGGGTTTGCCCATTCAGTTGGCTGTGCTACTGGGCCAGGTACAGAGAACAGTGGCACCTGAGTTTCTGACAAATGATTTCCTGATTCAGGGGGAGATGCGCGTGTGGGCTGGGCCGATCCGCCTGTGGAGCTGCTCACCAGTTTGCTTTCCATCGGCCGGTATGGCCCAGTCATAGGCGTGCTTCAGGGACTTGTAGCAGGAGAACTGCAGCCCAGCGTAGGGGAAGATGGCGATCAAGGTGGGGGCCAAGCCTTTGTAGAAGACCAGGGGGCCCTCGGTCCTGTACATGGTCACTACGGCATCTTGCAGGGTCTTATAGACCTGGACATGTACATGTGCACCTTGAGGGAGCTCAGGGAGGCAGTTTTAGCCCTGGATCAGCCCAACATACCCACTTGTGCCTCACCCTGTCTCCCAGACTGTTCCCAGGGGACTGTGCCCTTCCTGACCAAAATGTCACCAAGGTATCTCAACAAAAGGGTCTCCCATCCAGGATAACACAACCAGAGTTCTGGAGTCTCGCTTTCGCTGATGCCTGTCTCCATCCAGCCCACTACAGGCTACTTGTCTGTTCTGTTTCACACCACAGATCCCGACCCCAGCGAGGTTGTGAGTTCTTCTGGGCATGGACAGTGCACCCTGCACACTGCTGACCATGGTTATGGGTTTGACCATCTGGCAGCCGCCCTTAGAACCCAGAGCTCCCTAAGCTTTGTTTCCCCCAAGGATAGGAACCCCACTTTCCTACACACCTTTCTTCTCGGGCCCCTGCTGACTGGCCCTGACCACTCACCCTGGGCTCACCCTGAGCTGCAAAGCGGGTGCGCAGAACGTCCACAGGGTGTACGGTGAGGGTGGCCGCGCAGGCAGCCAGCCCACCACACACAAAGTGCGCTGAGAATTCGTGGGTGTCATACACATTGGCTCTGTGGACCAGCTCAGTCAGCAGCTGAAATGACAAAAACTGCAAGAGCAAGTGAAGAAGTCACCAGTGGCCTGAGGGTTGATGGCAGAGACCAAATGCTCCCAACACACCGCGTGCCACCAGGTGAGGCCAGGCTTAGGAGGAGGAAAAGCTAAGGAGACACCAAGGACCCATGGCGAACATAAGAACTATTATGTAATTGTGTGTAGAACTCAGAGGCCTCACCTTCAAACAGAGAGGAAAGAAAAAAGAAGAAACAATTTAGATGCCATTTTATAGTCTACTTGAGCAGAGTCCTACCAAAGAGTTAAAAAAGTATATGGAGGGGCTGGGAATGTAGCTCAGTGGCAAAGCACTTGCGTAGCATGTTTGAGGCCCTGGGTCACATCCCTAGCACCACAAAAAACAAAGCAAAACAAAAAAAACAAGGGTGGCATGGTGGTGACACCTGTAATGTCATAACTATGGGAGGCTGAGGCACAAGGATAACAAATTTAAACCCAGCCTGGGCAACTTAGTGAAACTCTTGTCTCAAAAAAAAAAAAAAAAAAAGGTTTGAAAAAAAATATAATCAGTACAAAGATCAAAGATCCCAGGTTCAGTACTGAAGAAAAAAATCCAAAGTACAGTAATACCTTGGTCCATAAACACTTCTGCTCACAAACAATTCGGTTCTCAAACAAAAGTGTTTTGACAAAATTTTGCTTCTCTTCACAAACTCTGCATCGGTGACAAACACAACCACGGCCATCTTTCCCACACAAACAAAAATGCAGCCGTCTTCCCCCAAATTGTGAAACAAATTACGTTTATGAATCGAGGCACCACTGTATATGGAGAGGGAGGGTAAGGCAACTTGAGTTCAAGGCCAGAGTGGGCTACACAGAGATCATATCTCAAAAAGCCACAGAGGGACAGAGAGGGGGGTGGTACCTAGCACATAAAAGACCCTGGAACTGCAAAAAATAAATACTTACATACACAGGCCAAAGCGTATGGAGAAAACTACTGATTCGCTTCATTTTGTGAGTATGAGGGAAAGACGAAACTGACTGGTGGCAGGGAGCTTCCAGCACTGCTGGGGTGGCGCTCTTTGAGTCACTCTCCCCTAGAGGAGACTGTGTGGGGAACGTGATCCCAGGGGTAACCAGTTGCCCCCCTTTGGACACCTCGGCATTTAGATGGGGACCTGGAATGGCCGGTATGTCCCGTAGGCACTGTCCTGGGAAGAACACTCAGGGATCACACTGAAGCTAGCTGTGTGGGGCGGGGATGTGTTCTCCCTCTGCCACTTTCTTTTATTTTTATTTTTTGTGGTGCTGGGGGTCGAATCCAGAGTCTTGTACATGCTGAGCTCCCCCGCCATTTTCTCAGTAGTACTTTGGTAGTGTTAATGACATAAGCTTTTGTGCCTCAGTCTTTTTTTTTTATGGTTATGCATTTGAATTTTTATTTACAGATAAAGAATCTGATGAATGACATAGCATAACTCCTGGCTCTATGACTTAGTCTTAGCTGAAAAAATCAGACTGACAAGAGAACCAGACTCTCAGGACTGCTGTGAGACAGTGTATGGAGGGAACTTAAGCCAGAGAATCGGTCGTCAGTACAGAGGCGGTACATTAGCAGCCCCGCTCCTGGGCCACCACATACCGTGTGCCCTCAGTGGAAGGAGTAAGTGACGAGCAGCAAGAAGCCACGGTTTGAGTCCCAGCCGGAGTATACATGGACTGTGTAGTCTCATCAGCTAAAATAACCTCCCTGCGACCCAGGAACCACCTGCTCTGCCTTCCTCAATGCTGTCAGGAAGCTCAAACGAAACACACTGGTGAAGGTGCTACTTCAGAAACTGAAATGTGTCTTCCACCAACTTGGAGCCTGCAGAGGCCTCCTGGGAAAGGCACTTCTGAAAGGCAAACATGTCCGGAAGGCTGCGGCGCAAGGCTATTTCCACCGGCTATAAACAGGGTCTCTGGACCAAAGGGGACCAAAGGGTACCAAAGGGTACCAAAGGGTACGCGCAGCTCTTCTTAAAGCTGAAGGTGATCATGTTGTGATGAAGTGGGAAACACAGCAGCCTTTCTCTGCCACCCCAGGGAGTATTCCTGCCGCTTTACCCTCCACTGAGCAGTAGGACCCAGGGCCCCGCCAGGACCCCTACCACTTACTTGGACAGCGCCATAGCCTACGGAGAGAAGCTGGGCTGGAATGTGTCCTTTCCAGAACGCTGTTACACCGGCTATACAGGGTCTCTGGACCAAAGGGGACCAAAGGGTACCAAAGGGTACCAAAGGGTACGCGCAGCTCTTCTTAAAGCTGAAGGTGATCATGTTGTGATGAAGTGGGAAACACAGCAGCCTTTCTCTGCCACCCCAGGGAGTATTCCTGCCGCTTTACCCTCCACTGAGCAGTAGGACCCAGGGCCCCGCCAGGACCCCTACCACTTACTTGGACAGCGCCATAGCCTACGGAGAGAAGCTGGGCTGGAATGTGTCCTTTCCAGAACGCTGTTGGGCCCTCCTCCCGAAAAATCTGCCTGCTGGCCTGCAGGATCCCATGGTACTTAGCTTTCGGGTCACTGTGAGACAGGCGCTCAATCTGAAGCTAGGTACCAAAAATCAAAAAGGTCAGGATGGTGGCAGACGGGGTGAAATGAGAAGGGAAAATTTCAGAAAAAAAAGGTAATGAAGGTGGGAAAGCGCTTCACTTTGACAAAATTCCAAGTTTTAGAAAGTGCTTCTGCTAGAAGGTCTGAACTTGTCATCCAGCCTGTTGCACACACACAAAAAGAAGTGCGGGGGAAGGGTACCTGGAAACGGATCTTGATGACATCTAAGGGACTGATCAGCACCCGAGTAACAAGTCCAGACACAGACCCTGCCACCGCCACCTCGAACTTGGAGTTATTCCTGTCATCCGCCTTCGGGTCATAGCCGACCATCCCTGCCTCCGGCCCATCCAATGTCCATCAGTATCAAGCTAAGTGCAAGAGAATGGAATGAACACAAAGGCAAGTTTGTAGGGTCTCTGCTCAGACATCACCTCCTCACAGCAGCCCCCCACGCTGCCCAGTCTGTGTAAAGCAGCCTGGTCGCCTCTGTTCCTACAGGATGCTGATTCTGTGCATTTGTTTCTTCAGTGGAAACCCTGGGAAACACAGCCTTGGCCTCGTTCACTCAGCTGTCTCGAGAAGAGCTCCTCATAGGAAGTGCTTGGTATCCGGGGACTTCATGGGAAATTGTTCACTCCCAGCGATAAATGGCTTTCTGGGGACCTCTGGTAACTTTACGGCAAGCCCCGCCTTAGTGGAACGTGTCAGCCCCATCGAGTGAAACCTGGGGGGACTGTCAGACGCGCGGGGCCCAAAGAGCAGGGCTATACAAAGGAAGAGCCCAGTGAGCCTTCGTGCCTTCGCCTTTCCCTTCCCCAGTCCTCGCACTCGCCTCTGGCACTGTGGGGCTGAGTTACGCTATGAGGCGATGTGCGAGGCCCAGCCTGGCCCCTCCCTTCCCCCCACATAACTGGGGAGGTCTCAGTGCTTCTGGCAGCGCCTGGGAAACTTCCTATCAGCCTTGCCTCTGCCCATTTCCACCCTCCTCTCTTCCAAGGCCAGCTCCTCTCATCCACCGGAGCTCAGGTGCAGAGCGCCCCCTCCTGGAGATGTATGTGTAGTTCCCTCCTCTAGCGTTTCCAGCACAAATATGTATTCTCTGTCCCTTCTGCCCAAGGGAAGGGGTCTCCAAATGAGCAGGAAGGGACTCAGGCACCCTACTTATGGCTCCAGAGAACAACACAGTTTTCACAGCAAAGGCTTAAAAATTGTTAATGAATAAATGGTTAAAAGTCAAATAGTCTCTGGATTACAGAAATACTAATAATAACATTATAGAAAGTTTAGGAAAAGGGACAAAAAAAATCTCTACTAACTTTATTTTTGTGGCCTCTAAGGCCTTTGCATTAAGCCACATCCCCAACTCTTTTAAAATTTTTTATTGTGAGACAGGAGCTATCCAGGTTGGGTTCAAATTTGCAATTTGTCTTAGCCTCCCAGAGTACTGGGATTATAGGTGTGTACCACCATGCCTGGCTCCCCCCGCCCCGTACTAGGACTTGAATCCAGGGTCTTAGTGCATAAGAGACAAATATTCTACACTGGGTTATACCCCGCAGCCGTTTGCTTAATTTTGATTGAGACAGGGTCTTATCCAGGCTGGCCTCAACTTTGTGATCCTCCTACCTCAGACTCCCAAGTAGCTGGGATCACAGCCATCCACTAGCATACCCAGCAGAACCCTATCATCTTATTTATTTTTTATTTTCATTTTATTATATTGTGTTTTTCTTCCAACAGGGTCTCACTATGTAGTTCATACTGCCCTAGAACTCACCATGTAGCCCAGGTTGGCTTTGAACTCAAATCAATCCTCCTGCCTCAGCCTCCTGAGCTCTGGGATTACAGGCGTGCGCCACCACCCAGCTAGAGCCCTACTATCTTAACACTTTATGTCATGTATTCTGTTTTGGGTTCTTTCCTTATATCCTGTCTTTTTTTTGGTACTGGGATTGAACTCAGGATCTCACACTTGCCAGACAGGTGAGGCATCACTGAGATACATCCCTGGGCCAGTATCCTGTCTTTTGAAATGTAAAATTGTCATAATTTTTTTCCTTTTTAAAGGCAGGATCTTACTTTGTAGTTCAGGGTGGTGTCAGACTCAATATACAGCCCAGGCTAGCCACAAATTTGTGGTGATCCCTTTCCTCAGCCTCCCAAGTGCTGAGATTGCAGGTGTGGGCCAAAATGCTTAGCAAAATGTTTCCATGGTATTTGTTACAAGAACTCTGTCACATGCCTGTAATCCTAGCACTCTGGAAGGCAGAGGCAGGAGAAGCCCAAGTCCAGTCACCGCCTGGGCAATTTAGCAAGACTCTGTCTCAAAATAAAAATAACAGACTGGGTATGGTAGCATACACCTATAATCCCAGCACTCAAGAGCTGAGGCAGGAGGATTGCTGTGAGTTCAAGGCCAGCCCGGGCTATAAAGCAAGACCCTCTCAAAGAAGGAATGACAGACAGGGTTGGGAATGTACTCAGTGATGGAGTGCTTCCCTAGCATGTAGGAGGTTCTGAGTTCAATCCCCATTGATAGGGAAAAAAAAGACTCTGGGAGGCTGAGGCAGGAGAATCCCCAGTTTGAACCCAGCCTGTGTAACTTAGGGAGACCCTGTCTCAAAACAGGGATTTAGCTCAGTGGTTCTGCTGCCTGCCTTGCAAGTGCAAGGACCAGAGTTCGATCCTGATCCCTGGCACAGAAATAAATAAATAAATAAAGGTGGGGGTGGGACTGGGGATGTAGTCCTTACTGCTGGGGGTGGGTGGGGGAGAGTGACGAAATACTATGCAGCTGGGCTGGAGGGTATAAAAAAGTAGTAGAGCACTTGCCTAACATCTACGAGTCTCTGAGTTTGATTCCAATATTATGAGTGGAAAAAATCCACATACGCACAATGGAATACTGTGCAGAGCACTTGCCTAACATCTACGAGTCTCTGAGTTTGATTCCAATATTATGAGTGGAAAAAATCCACATACGCACAATGGAATACTGTGCAGCCCCTACAGAAAAACAAACCAGAGATACACAGACTCCCTTGCAAAGATGCCCACAATAAATCAAACAATAAAAAAGCAGTTTCAGAACAGTATGCTTAGTATAATTTCCTTTTTGTAAAAGAAAAGTAGTAATCTACATGTTCTCCACATAGCTCCAAAAAGCACTGAAACAAAATCTGTAAGAACACACACACCAAATGGGGAGGGGAGGAGGGGGTGAAGGGAGGGCAGGACAAGGAGAAAAAATGAGAATCAAAACCTCTCATATAAAGGTACAGGATCCCAATAATGAATGTTACTGTATTGTATACCTAGATTGTACCAATAAATTCAAAAAAAAAAAGAACACACACACCAAGCCAGGCATGGTGGCACACACCTGTATAATCCCAGCATTCAAGAGGCTGAGGCACAAAGATCACTGGAGTTCAAGGCCAGCCTGGGCTACAAAGTAAGACCCTAAAAAAAAACAAAACTAAACAAAAACCCAAAAAAAAACACACACATCAACAGTAGTAGGTGATAAATTGCCACTGTGGAAAAGAAAGGAGAAGTAAGGTAGATTTCTCTCTTTATGTAAATATATACATTTACATATATATTTGGGGGGGCAGGGATCGAACTTGGGCCCCTGTGCTTGTAGCAGGCAGCAGAACCACTGAGCCAAATCCCCGGCCCTTATACATATATATTTTTAACTTTAGATATGCATATTTTATTTTTGTCACTTAAATTTCATTAAACATTAAAATTAAAATAAAATGACAATAAGAACTGGGGATGTAGCTCAGCATCTCTGCGTCTACCAGGCAAGTGCAAGGTCCTGAGTTCAATTCCCGGTACTGGAAAAAAAAAGTGACAAGAAAAACTGGTAATTAATATTCACTAAAACTGAAAACTTCTATTCTGACAAGTCACAATGAAAAAAATGAAAGAAAAAGTCAACAAAATTGGAAAGTATTTTTGTGATATTTATCTAACAAAGAATTTACATTCCACATATGCAAAGAACTCAAACAACTCATTAAGGAAAATCAAAATAAGCTAATTTTTGAAATGGGCAAATTTTTTTTTTTGTACCGGGGATTGAACTCAGGTCCTTACGCTTGTAAGGCAGGCCACCAAACCGCTGAGCTAAATCCCCAGCCCCTTGGGTGAATTATTTTGGTGGATATTTCTTTCACAAAAGAAAGCTATAAGGATAATAAACACAGGGGCTGGGGATTTAGCTCAGTGGCACCATTCCTGCCTCATCAAGCACAACGCCCTACGTTTGATCCCCCAAAGCATAACAAACACAACTCATATCAACATTGTTCATCATTAGGGAAATGAAAGATTAACACGTTCCCATCAGCTTGAACCACCAATGGTGCATGTATGACTGTACCACTGGGTGGTGTGGGACAAGGACTATCTGAGCCACCACATGGGGCAATCATGCATGTACCACTAGTGGTACCAGCCACCTGATGGGACAAGACATACATGTATGGCCCCTCGTGAACATGTTAAACCACAATGACATACCACAACAAATCTAGAAAGGCTAAAATATAAAAGATGTAGCATACCATGTGTTAGCCAAGATGAAAAAAAAATTTTAAGTATATGTGCTACCTAAGTGAGCATAAGTTGTTTTTTTGTTTTGTTTTGTTTTTGTTTGTTTTTTGAGATAAGGTCTTGCTATGTAGTTCAGGCTAGCTTTAAACTCACTATGTAGTCCAGGCTGGAAATGTAAAATCATCACAGATCCACTGGCCTTCTGATATGGACTCTTGTGGGACACTGCAGTCAGCTGCAGCTCTTTGACTGGATCCCTTGGATCTCCAGTGTGCAGATGAACCCTCTATACTCTTCCACATCTGACTCTGTGGGTGGTCATTCTGCCCTTCTATCACCCTTGGAAAATGATTAACTGTATTCCCCAGACCCTCAGCATCAGACTTCCAGAAAGATGGTAGAGAACTGAATAGCAGAGGCCACCTTCTCTGAGATTTGGGGTCCGGATGCTGGAATACAGCAACATGAGAAAGAGAAGAAGGAGTGAAATGGGTTCCTGAGGCCCAGCAAAGATCTGAAGCAAGAAGTGAAGCCATGGGAGAGTGAAGAGGGAAACCTTAAGGCAGAAGGAGGTGGCAAACAGTGCTTTCTCCCTGAACGGGAAGGGGCAGCTCAAACTTGCAGATGCACAGTGACTGCTGGTGACCCCAGAGGCCAACGTACAGAAACACACCAGTGGAATGGAGCAGTGGGTGCAGTGTAGTGGCTGGTGAGTTATTCAGGTTCAGACCTCTCCCAGGAGAGGGTGACTGGCTGGCAGCCATCTTGCAGAGAGGCCATCTGAGCCTGAATCTCGGAGCAG